TGGGCTTCCCCTACATATTAGCAACCTATTAAAAGCCAAAAAAGCTGCTTTCCGGAGAGCAGCAAAATATCCCACCCCCGAATATAGGCGCGCGGCCAATCGTCTTCAACGAGAAATGAATTTCGAGACCTCGAAAAGAGTAAGCTCATGGAGAATATCTCTCCTTCTCACACAGCGTACTATCAGATGGCTAGAGCCCTCCGCATAGACGCTATCACCCACACTCCCCCTCTCTCCCGTCCCGACGGCACGGTTGCCTTCGAGGACGAGGAAAAGGCTGAGTGCTTTGCAGATAGCATTGCCGCTCAATGCTCTCCTAGTTCTCAACCCGTCGACCCCTCTCACGTCCAGGCAGTGGAGGATGAGGTCCGCCGCCGGAACTCACCCCCTACGGCCTCCGAACCTATCTCTGTGTCCAATGATGAGATTTCATCCCTCATCAAAGGACTTAAGCCTAAAAAGGCTCCGGGCGCGGATGGCATCTCCAACAAGCCCTAAAACACTTTTCTGAGCAGGTGTTAACCTTTTTATCTATTGTCTTCAACGCCTGCTTCAACCTCAGTTATTTCCCCACTACGTGGAAAGAGGCTACTGTGATTGGAATTCCCAAGCCAGGCAAGCCTCTCAACCTCCCCCTCCAGCCATCGCCCCATTAGCCTCCTCAAGGCAATGGGCAAGCTCTTCGAAAGAGTCATCCAAACGCGTATGAGGCGCTATCTGTTTCCCACAGACGGCGACCCTCTTATCATTCCCCATCAATTCGGCTTCCGAGCCAAACACTCATGTCCCCAACAAGTTCACCGCATTGTGGAATATATCCTCAGCGGTTTCTATCCTCGTCGTCATAAGACCATCGCGGTCTTTTTCGATATAGCTAAAGCTTTCGATAGAGTCTGGCACACAGGCCTCATCTACAAGCTCTATAAAATAGGTCTCCCCGATCGTCTAGTTCGTCTCGTGGCCTCCTATTTAAAACATCGTACCTTTCGTTTTAGACACGAAGGCACGCTTTCTTCACAGCGAACTATCAAGGCTGGTGTCCCTCAGGGCTCAGTACTTGCTCCTCTGCTGTACATCCTGTTCACCAACGACATTCCCATCCCGTCGAAAGGTGTTCAACTCTCCCTCTTCGCAGACGACACTGCCATCTACTGCAAAGGTGTCTCACTACCCTTCATACGGAACAAGATCCAAAAGTCAGTTGATGACCTAGGAGCTTGGTTCAAAAAATGGCGCATCAATGTGAACCCGGAGAAGAGCTCCGCCGTTCACTTCGATTATAAACGACGCCGTCTCAAAAACACTCCACCAATACGTATGCTAGGGACCACTGTCCCCTGGCATACGTCCGCCAAATATTTAGGTGTCACTCTAGACACAGGGCTCACTTTCAAGCCCCACGTCAAAAGAGTAACCCGTCACGCACGTTTTTATCTGAGTAGGCTCAACAGTATGTTGGGCCGACACAGTAAAATGTCCCTTCGAAACAAGCGTACCCTTTACAAGGTCTGTATACGACCAGTCATGTCCTACGTGGGCCCCGTCTTTGCCCACGCAAACCCTAATATTTTAAATGAACTCCAAATAGTTCAGAACCTCTTCTGTCGTCGAGCTGCGAACGCACCTTGGTACGTCCGTAATGCCGACCTTCATCGGGACTTAGAGCTCCCAACAATTCAACAATTTTTTAAAAAACTCTCTGAGAACTTCTTCAAAGCCTCAGAGTCGCACCCAAACCATTTAATTCGTGAGGCAGCTTCTTATGCAGCCCCACCCCCCTCTCGCTATCGTGTCCGCAGGCCGAGAAACTCTTTCTCGGACCCGCCTAATAAACTTTCAAACGACCTGAACTGTCTCCTGGCGGCTCAGGCCAACTCTAATTAAATAAAATTATTGTAATAACTAACATTAATTTGCCTTCGTAGGTACTCCCTCAGCGGCACTTAGCCGCCTGCGCCCTCTTTTCCCAAAAGAGGGTCGCTCATGATAAGGCACAATAGAGCTTAATCAGCCGGTTGCCTGTCCCCAAAGGCGGTTTTTAGAGGGTATCACTTAGGGTCCCCGGTAGGACAGTGAGCCCCTCATAACCACGATAGACCGGCTATCGTGGTATGCGTAATGCATTTTCCGCCTCCCTACGTATAGGGTAGCCCTTTAATTGCTTCGGGCGCAAAAAAAAAAAAAAACAGGCGAGTGTCTATTGTCAAATACGGTACGGACTCATGCGAATGTGATCTCGGTGGACGCTGTTTTCATGTTTCCATGACTACATAACACAGTATTGGAAGCGTAAACAATTTACGTTTCGATGATTATGTAATATATTTTGATGAATATACATTAAATAATTAATATAAGTAAATGTGTCATGCATGCTTTTAGTAGTATAAAAATGCGTTCATTTACCCACATTTACTAATCTATATATTTTATAATCGTTCGTAAGGGGAGTGAACTTCAGTCGTGCGCCGGAACTGACAAACTCACTTTTTATTTTTCAGAACAATTCTTTTTTTAATGTTATTTATAAGAATTATGCAAACAATATTCTAAAAAAAATATTATAATTAGGCTCGTTACTATTAAGATTATATGAGAGATAAATGAAAATAATCCACTTTAAATTCTCCCTTCCGTCATTAGTATGAGCTGCATCAACCAATTATAGAATTATAGCAATAGTAAAAAAAACATAGCAGCTTAAAATCAAGACATACAAAATCAATAGGTGAGTACTCCCATTCTAGAGTTTTTCAAATAAATCAAAGATAAACATCTTTTAAAACAAATTTTACAAAATATGAAGTACTAATAATAGCATTTGAAGTAATTGGAAGTAAATGATCCTAATTTATTTTTCATATAACCTTAATTCTCGTAATTTAGTTACGAGAATAATTATAATAATTTTGTGAAGGGAAGATGTATGAATTCATCATTGCACACGTTTCAGCAGTACGGACGTAAAATATGGTACTTGAAACTATAGCGTATCCTATTCCTATTCCAACAATACTAACCTTTATGTGTACTTGATACTTTATGGACTAGGTGGAACAGGTATTTGGATCGAGTATTTATACGGAATTGGACTAGGTGCACCTAGTACGAAATTTACCTAGTACGACTCATCTCTACCAAACTGTAACGTAAATTACGTAAATGAAATTGTCATATTGAATACAGAGTACCTTCGTATAAAGTAGAGATGAGTCGTACTAGGTAAATTTCGTACTAGGTGCACCTAGTCCAATTCCGTATAAATACTCGATCCAAATACCTGTTCCACCTAGTCCATAAAGTATCAAGTACATATAAAGTTTAGTATTGTTGGGATAGGAATAGGATGCGCTATAGTTTCAAGTACCATATTTTACGTGCGTACTGCTGAAACGTGTGCAATAATGAATTCGTACATCTTCCCTTCATACTTTACAAAATTATTATAATTATTCTCGTAACTAAATTACGAGAATTAAGGTTATATGAGAAATAAATTAAGATCATTTACTTCCAATTACTTCAAATGCTACTTAGTAGTACTTCATATTTTGTAAAATTTGTTTTTAAAGATGTTTATCTTTGATTTATTTGAAAAACTCTAAAATGGTAGTACTCACCTATTGATTTTGTATGTCTTGATTTTAAGCTGCTATGTTTTTTTTACTATTGCTATAATTCTATAATTGGTTGATGCATCTCATACTAATGACTGAATGGATAATTTAAAGTGGATTATTTTCATTTATCTCTCATATAATATTAATAGTAACGAGACTAATTATAATATTTTTTTAGAACATTGTTTGCATAATTCTTATAAATAACATTAAAAAAAGAATTGTTCTGAAAAAATAAAAAGTGAGTTTGTCAGTTCCGGCGCACGAATGAAGTTCACTCCTTACGAACGATTATAAAATATATAGATTAGTAAATGTGGGTAAATGAACGCATTTTTATACTACTAAAAGCATGCATGACACATTTACTTATATTAATTATTTAATGTATATTCATCAAAATATATTACATAATCATCGAAACGTAAATTGTTTACGCTTCCAATACTATGTTATGTAGTCAAGGAAACATGAAAACAGCGTCCACCGAGATCACATTCGCATGAGTCCGTACCGTATTTGACAATAGACACTCGCCTGCCTTGTACTCTTGTATAAGTATTTGGTTGAACTAGTCCGAGTCCCGACTAGTCTCGTACTAGTATTTGGTTGAACTAGTCCGAGTCCCGACTAGTCTCGAGTATTGACAGACAAAGATAGAAAGACTACGGAATAGTCTAGTTAAAAAAAAGGACAGAATATATTATTACACAACAAACACGAGTGCGCGTCACGTTACCTTTATGTTCATTAAAATTTGGTTCAAATTCAAATGACTGACAAACTAATGATTTAGGCAAAGAGGACCCGAGTTGAGCGCCTAGTAACTACAGTCTACGGCAACAAAATACGAGTACGACGCGTAGGCACAGTGAGACTAGATGTATCAAGTATTTTAAAAGTTGGAATAGGTGCAACCTAGTCTCGTTAAATACTTAGTCCCTGGATCTGTTCTAGTATATACGCTTCATCTCTAGTATAAAGTAAACTGAAAATAATAAAAGGGGTATCCTGTTCCTATATCCTCTTAATAGTCTCTGTTCTCTGTGAATAAAAGTTATGGAAGTTCGAAACCGTAGACAGAGAATCTCTGTCTACGTTCGAAACTCAATCTGTGGTAATAAGAAATGTCTGTCATGTCATATTCTAAACTACCGGTTTGAATCTATGGTTGAAAATGAGGGCAAATTTTTTTGATCTAAGATTTCATGCCGTGTTAGATAACTAACCTGAAACCTCCATGAACATCAACATTCAAAAAACAATTTAATTTTAAATGCTTCGGAGAGACCCAAAGAATATACTACTCTCCTACTCTTAATCACTGAATAAGAAGAGTACTTGCATGCTATCTAACGAGAGCAGAGGACGCCGAGGTCAATGTACATATTAAATTTAGGTCAAAAGTCATACCAGTAAGTACTTAGTTAAAATCAACTGATGTTCATTATCTTAATGTGCTAGGGTACACGTACTACTATACACAAAGTAATTGTTTTTAAGTAGTTTGTTTTTAGATTTAAACAGTGAAAAAATGATACTAAAAATGTATGTATTATTACTCCTATTTTCTTTTATTATAATTAGTAATGCATTAAAATTCTCATCTATTGAAAATAGTTATAAAAAAGGGATCGACGCATATTCTAAAGAAAGATGGTCAGAATGTATATCGAAATTTGAAGAAACACTACATCTGTTCAAACTTTATAAAACTATTGAAATAAACTGCAGACTCAAGTGTGAATCCCAAAAGCAGAAAGCAGAAGTAGAAGAAATTGAAGATATTGGAATATATGAAAAGTTTTTAAATAATAGACTATGCATAACTAAGTGCCAATCGGAAGGATTTGATGAAGCTCGATTGAACAGTTTTGTACCTGAATCCGTTATAAATGAAATGACATTGAAAAAGCCCTATGAATATCTTCATATTTGTTATTTTCAAATGAATGCCCTACCTAAAGCAGCATCAGCAGCATATACATATTTGGTTGCTAACCCAGAAGATGAAAAAATGAAACAAAATGTTAAATATTACATTGATCAGCCAGAAGTTGATATTAATGAAATAATAGATCTTGAAAGTGAAGACTACAAAATATTGTACAATGTTGGTCTCAAAGCATATAATGCAAAGAAATGGGGAGAAACTGTGGCTAACATGGAAGAATCACTAACAGATTATTTATCATGGGAAAATATGTGCCGTGCTGATTGTCAACATCAAACAGAACTAGAATGGTCACCTGAATTTACAGTAACTGTTTCGAATTATATGACTGCCCTTTTAATGTGTAAGCAAAAATGTCAAGACAAACTTAAGTATTTAAACTTTAATTCTGGAATTGAGTTTCTAGCTGACCTTCTGAATTATTTACAAATATCATATTATCATTTAGGTAGGATAGAAGATGCTGCTAAAGCGGTAGAAAGCTACTTGTTACTATTACCTAATGATGAAGACATATTATCAAATAAAAATATTTATAGTTCATTAACTGACCAGAAAAACTTTGTTGAGAAATCAGATATAGCTTACTATTTTAAACGTGACAAATATGAAAAAAGAGTTCTAGATACTTTTTACAATTCAGATATTAATAATGAAATAAATTCTATGAAAGAATAAAATATAATTATGTTTAAGACCAACTTAACGAAAGTCCAAATACTCGATTATAAGGGGTATGTTCCCAGTATACTGGCGAATGCAAATGACATCATTAATTGACGCCATATTTGATATAACAAATCACCAGTATGGCGTTGATTTATGACGTCATTTGCATTGGCCAGTTTACTGGGTTGTATTTCGGAACATACCCAAGATGTTGCTAAATCTTGTGGTGTTACATTCACTGACTTAAAGTAATAGAGATAGCATAAGACTTAACATCTAAAGATTAAGTAGTGACTAGAATTGAGTTGACCATTTGGGCATAAGTCAAACAAATACACTATTGCCTTACTATATTTGCTTAGCATGTGAAATATTGGAATAATTGGAATAGCAGAATTTTTGCCATGTTTCAACTTAAGTACCTACTTTAAGTAAGATAATTTTTATTGTGCCATATTTAATCAGATATTATTTTACTCTTTATTCATAATATGTAGACAGTAAGATGACAAAAGAACTATTTCGAATAATATTTTATAATGATGGCCATGGCCAATTTTACTATTGATAAAATAAAATGGACCTTTTTTTTCTGAAATTTTGTTTATTTCAAAAAAAATCAGGACACAGTGTTGTTTGCCTGTCTATTTGCATTCAACTGACACTGCTCTATCTTTTATTTGCCTGCTATTTGTTAACCACACAGGAGGAAGCAATGAACTGACTACACAGGAAAGATTGAAATAAGGGTAGGCCTTTGTGATATATACTCGGATATAATACTTATGTGATAAAATCAGAAGTAAGCTAGTTTAAAATATCTTCATGTCTCTGTATGAACATTGAAGCTAAGAGCCCGAACTTAGTAATTATGTACTTTGACTTCACAGCACCTATATATTACACAAGGTACAGCGCCTGAAACGTCATCTCACCTTATCCATCAAGTTACATAAAATTGTTTCGTATTCAGAAAATTACCTGATTAGATCATTGATTAAAACTACTTTTTCTATTACTGATTAGATCAGTTACTGTTAATTGTATCTGTATTTTTTTATAGAATAAGAGTTACAAACAGTCCACCTGATGACCTGGTAAGTTATTGCTGTAGCCAATAGACGTCTTCATCTCTGGAAGATAGGTCTCCCCTGAAGTCTAAGATGGTATGCCTCATTTCCAGCAGTAGAAAGGGTCTTCGGTTCTCTAAACTCGACATAAGTAACACAGCAGCATTAAGCTGTTATTTCACGCTGCTATGCTGTAAGAGCATGGCCCTTCCCTAACTCATGCATGCTCCAACCAAATTATAGCTGCAGAATTACTCTACCATGTTACAACAAAATAATATACAAAGAACTAGATAGTAAAAAATAGATAATATACAAAGAACATAATATTCTGACAAAGCTTGCTATTCAGTTCAGTCTATGGGTCTGTTCCGAAATACAACACAGTGTACTGTCCAATGCAAATGACGTCATGAATCGACGCTGTACTGGTAGTTCGTTCCAAAACATAAGACAGTATATGACGTCATACATTAGCGCCATATTGGAAAAGTGTTGGCGATTATTTTGTCATTTTGTGCTCCAAAATCATTATATCCTCCTAATGGAGATACCAGCAATTATTCAATAATTTTTGTATTTGAATAAATAAAAATAAATTCTGGCATGCTTCATTCAGCGCACACACAATTAAAAGTTGTTTTATTATGGCCGGATATCCGACACAATATGACGGCGGCACGCCAGTGCAATGTAGTGTCAATTGATGACGTCATTTGCATTGGACACTGTGTTGTATTTCGGAACATACCCTATATATTACAATCTATCAAAATAATTGATCATAGATGAAGATAAGATTACTATAAGCATTGGTATTTTCAATAATAAATCGACAATGTATCCAAAATTAGAAATCAGAGAAAATTATAGTTTTAAACAGCTTTAACAAGCCATATACCACAGTACCTTTATATATTTATTAGTGGAATATAGTATTTATAATAAACTAGTAGTAATTAATGTAGTAACTAATTAATGTGTAAGGCAAAGATTTTGATACCAATAGGAATATATCCAAATTATAGAAACTAGAAATGAGCAAAAGGTGATGAAATTGCGAATGCGACTCCTAGCCTCCTAGGTATATAGTCAGTAATCTGTGCTCCTAGGTCCTAGCAGAGAGATATCATATCATTATCTTTGACAAATTACAAAAATGTCATTGTAATGTTAATGACATTGTCATGTTAGAGATGGGTCATCTCGAGTTACGCCAAAGAGTATAGTAACTATCCTATTGTCCTATACAGGAAAGTTACGCTTAACTCGAGTTGGATCTCCGTAACTAGAGTTTGGGCGGGCTGTACATGAACAAATCAAGCGAGCCTGCAGAAGAGTAGGAGCGCGATTCAGATTCAGAATTTTATTTAGGAATAATATAACAGTTAATTTATTTAGGAATATTCTGACTGTTATAATTAAACTATAAATAGCTAATTTACCTATATCTTAAAACTAGATTGTTTTGTGGAGACTACTACATAGCCAGCTTTGTTTTGTTGTTAAATATCATCATCATCATTACAACCCTTTAAAGTCCACTGCTGAACATAAGCCTCCCCCAAAGAACACCACAAACTGCATCCATCTACTCCCTGCGTGTCTTACCAGATCGTCTCTCCATCTAGTTGGGGGATGCCCTAAACTTCGCCTGCCGGTACGAGGCTGCCACTCGAGAATCTGTTTTCCCCTCGGTTGTCGGTTCTTCGAGATATATGGCCAACCCATTGCCACTTCAGCTCAGTAATCAGTTGGGATATGTCAGTTACTATGGTCCTGCTATGGATATCCTCATTTTTAATTCAATCACGCTGAGAAACCCCAAGTATAGCCCTTTCCGTAGCTTGAGCGGAAGCAGAAGCTAAATCTGTTAAAATATAAAAATATGATTTTTACAGAATTACTACACTAACGTCTCAAAACTCCAACTTAAGAAAGTTTGGTGGTAATAGTATTAAACGTTATGATTTAAAAAATAAATGAATTCATGAACATGTAAAATATCATGTGATATTCCCGCAAAACATCAATAGTTTGACATACGAAAGTACAAGAAAATATGTGGAAACATACAGCCAGCAGTGAAGGACCACGTCTCAGATCCGTAAGTCATCACTGGCAACACGCACTGGTTCAACTATCCTGTTTGCAGGTTTTGAGGTACGCCTGACGAGATGTGTCGTAATCTCCTGAACACTACTCAGCCGAGTTGAATCCGTCGATTGACCTCTCGGTCGAAGTTGGACTTACCTAGTCCTACTTCTTCCTAGTCATTACTTTTTGTCATGTAATTAATACACACTGCCCTTGCTTTTTCTTACATAAGTATATTTATATAATATTAATTATAGTTTTAATTATTTTTGAAATTTCATCAAAATATTTTATTATACGTATATTTAATTATATTCCTTCTACTGCCGGTAATACTTTTGACGTGACAGAATCATCACCATTGAAGATGGTTGTTTTTATACGTGATAAAGCCATGCTGCAGTTATATTGATAGCATAGTTGCAGCACAAATGGGTCGGCTTGACCGGGGAAGGACCACGCTCTCACAGAATACCAGCATAAAATAGTAGCTTAATGCTGCTGTTTCGTAGGCATTCCATCTTAGTCCTCACGGGTGACAACGCATCTGCAATTTGATTCGTATTTCCATGAAGCATGGATGTAGATATCTATGGGCCACAGCAACCACTTACCATCAGCTGGCCTGTGTGCTCATTTGTCACCCTTATCATATAAAAAACCGACTTCAAAAAGGATCTTAATTCGCATGTATGTTTTTAGCTCGTCTTTTATATAGGTACACGATCCGCAGTACTCTTCAATTTTTTTATGCGCAGTATTTATTTTCTTGATCAATCTCACGAAGTTTCAGGCCAAGGAAACACTCTCTGAAATAAAAATATCAAATTTTGCTAAATTACTCTCAAATTTGGTATCATTTTTGACGTTATTTTGATAGCAGGTGTTACTAATTAAGGGAGTTTTAATAATGCGTTTTGATTTTCATTTGACTCCAAAAACATTTTAATGTATTTTTACCGATTACTCGAAGACGCTTAAACTGATTTAGAAAATTCTTTTTTGTTTCAAAGGGTACACTTTCAAGATGATTTTTATAAAATCAACAATAAATTATTTTATTTATTTTGAAGTCGGTTGTAAGGAGACGGTACATTTTAGGCCCAGTGTATGTACACTATACCGTAAAAAAGAAAAAATCCGGGAATAATGTTAAAAATATAATAAGAGAATAAATCAAACTAAAAAACTTGCCAAAATAAAAATGCAATCCCATAAAAAGATGCGGTTACTTGTTAAGTATCATTTCTGATAAGTAACTTGAGTCACGAAATAATGTAGGTAGATTGATATTTTTATTTATTTCGAGCTTGGTCGTGTAGTTGTAAACTCATGAAAATACCATAGATATAAGAAAAAAGGAGATATGCCCAGTAGTTGAACACATTTTTTTGCTATTTACAAACGTGTGACACGCGACTGCATTAATAATAAAAGAGTGGCAATGAGAAGTGCTGCTATTTTAAATATGTTTATTTTATCGACTAAGTATTTTACTAATAACCAGTATATGCTGATATTGCATTAGTAAGCAGTAACGAGTTCTGGGATATCTACTTACACTGAACATTTAAGTTCATTGACATTATACGCGGAAAACCACCATCAACCAACGGCTTTACGGGCTTTCCGAGGAACGCGGTTGAGACACCGCCAACTTCCTGACTCCGGGCAGCTACTGAGATTTCTTAACGGAAAAACAATAAAAAAAATTTCCGATCCGGTATTCGAACCCAGGACTCATGATCAGCTGTTATACTATTACAACCATAGACCAACGAGGCAGTCAAAATCAAAAATAAATATCAAAGTCCCTAAATATTCATTAGAGAAAAATTATTT